TCATTTTCTAAAGGCCATACTTGCCTCCAGCCACATTTCCCTCTACTTTTCCCTGTTGTAATGGGGATAGTTTTCATCCCCTGACATCACCAGAAGGGCTGAGAGGTGTTGAAAGCGCTTCTTCTCGGAAGAAAGCATTGTATGGCAAAGGAAGAATAATTGCGTTGACAGCGCAGGGAGAACAGATATGTCTCCCTAAAAAGATTTTACAGCCTCATTTGCATTAAAAAAAAAAAAAAAGTTGGAATTTTTTTTTTGTCAGAAGCAGCAGGGAAACATAAGAAATTCAGCAACTCAAAATATTCCCAAGGAACAAAAAGAAGAAGGGTTCAAAAAAAAAAAAAAAAAAAGAAACATCAAATCCAGCCCTACCGAATCACATCTAATTCAAACAGCAAAGATTGCACGTAAGGAAGTAACCAGCTTGGGGATGGTGCCAGTTCCCTGCCCACTGTAGGAAACTGGGGGGCCTGGTAGGCTTTGCCCCCAAGCCCAGCCAAAGCCTCACTTCTGGAGAAGGCACAGACCTACCACTCATTAAACCTCTCTGCTGGGTCATGGTACAGCCATGAAGCAGTCATGGCTAAGAGCTACATGGTGGACCTCAGTATCACAGTACCACATGCCCCAAGAGTGGACGTGGCACAAGCCAGAGCTGCTTGGTGGTGGAGGTGGTGGAGAAGGGACTGAAACTCTGTTTTAAATTGACGCTCATGTGTGATCGCAAAGGGGTTGAGCTTATGAGAGCCCATCAGCACCAACTGGGAGAAGAACAGCCAGCACCTTTGCAAAGCCCAGTATGGATAACCTGACCAAAATGCCCCAACCTATCATTCCCCCATATGGGACAGGGCTGGTTCAGACACTGCAATCTGAGCATACCCAGCTCAGGTCGTGGCATTAAATGATGTCTGGCATACTTGTGCCCCCATAATGTATGTTAAGAGGACACAGGAAAAGCATGGACTCTAACAGTGCCTGGCAATTTGGCATCAGATCAGGCAGGTTTCCATTGTCAGAAGCACAAAAAAAACCCCCTGTTTAAGTCTAAGAGGATCCCTTTACCAGGTGAGCCAGGTTTCTCAGCTCTACGCACAATTTTAACTCACTGCAAAATTAGCCCTGCTCACCCTCCTTCTTCCAGCAAGTCATGGGATGGCAGAGGCTGGGGATACGGGTTCCAGGTGAAAAATAAGCAGAAGCAGTATGTCAGGGCTTTAATCAAATCTGTAGGAGATGGGATTTTTCCTCCTTGCCAGACGTACCTTTTTTTTTTGTGCGCAGACGTTAATGCTCGTGGAACGATATTTGATCAGCCTTAATTTTCAGGCTGGATCCCTGTCTGTTTCTCCATCTGAGCAGCCCAAGGTTTCCTCCTGCTGCTGTGGCCAGCTCCGGGCAGGATTTGTGCATCTGTGGCTGGGTGCAGCCGGGGCCAAGCACAGGCAGGGTCTCTCTTAACGCACTGCAGTGGAGCCCGGTCGCTTCCCATGCGGCTGGCTCAGCCTCCTCTCTGCCATCCCTGGCTGGTTCATTAGCATCAAGCTGTTCAAAGGGATGGAAATTAAATTATATTTAGGTCAGAAACATCTTTTAAGCGAAAAATACCTATTATATTTAAAGCATCTTGCTCAGAGACTGTCTGTCTACTGCTTCCAGGATGGTTGCACAAATAGTCGCCGTCCTTAACGTGTTTTTTAATGGTACAGCAGGCGCTTCCAAAATCTGATTTTTGTTTAAATATAAATTAGGTTCATTCTCTCTCTCTATCTAATTAATGCTGGTAAATAAGAAACCACCTTCTGGCAGCTCGTTTAGGTATCCCAGACAGGCAAAAAGGCTGTTATTTCCTGGGATAACTTTGAAAGTGAGAGAAAATAGCTCTGCCCTAGTGACGGGGCTGTAGTCCTGGACAGCCCGGCGCTCTGCTCTCTGCTGGGAGGGAGCAGGCAGCTTTCCAGGAGCACCAGCGGTCAGACATCTCTCCCTACGCTTTGGGCTGCCAGTCCTGTTAGACAGTGGCCTCTCCACGACTCCCTGTGTGCAATCACATCTTAAACAGCTTCAAGCAGCTGGGCTACGCCTCCTATCAAGGCTGTACGAGTGATGATCTTCTTGGACTTCATAAATATTGATCATTATTCTGGAAGCAGCTCAGCAGACAGAAGCTACTTTTCAGCCCCAGCTCCTGGAGAAGAAGTTGTGTTGACTCCCAGTCAGTACACTTTAAACTGGAGTGTATCGTGATGCTTAGGGATCCTTTGCTTCAGTCGATACTCCAAAACCTCCTGCAAACAAAGTAGGGACAAGGCTACCTCGCCCAGGGCTTCCAGAGGGATAAGGCAACACCAGTAGGGCAATTTCTCCCTCCTCCAAGGGACCGAGCCCCCAGCCTCACTTCTTTATGTCAAAACATACCAGAGCAGAGGAACAGGGCTGCTGCTGCTTCTTCCCTGCAACCCACCCAGGAGAGCCCGCTGGACAGCCCGCTGGCTCGCCCTGCTGCTGACATGTTCCTTCCACCTGCCTCATAACCTTTCCATTTCCATGATGGCTTCATCTTGCATTTGACTCCTGAGGCAATTTTCTCCCTCCTCTAACGGGGCCACGGTGGGAGACAGAGACCCAAGCACAGCTGGCTGCTTCTCCCCCCCAGGCCCTGTCAAACTTCTCCGCAGCACGCCCTGGCGCTGCAGGCATCGCCGAGGCAGGGCGCCTTAGATGTCTCGGGGAAGAGATGCTGCTATTTTTCTGCCCTTCCTCCAGGGGATCTTCAAATGCCTCGACTCTCACAGAGCAACAGTCTGTTCAATCTGAGTCTGTTTGAAGGAGGCAGCAAGACAGGAAAGGAAGAGTTGGGTGGAGGAAGCCGACGTTCAGGAGCTTAGTATAAAAAATTAAAATATTCCTGCTTTCCGGCGTTGAGAGTGATCTTCTCCTCCATCAGTAGCTTCACTGATGTGCTCAGTGCTGGTTTCCTTGACCCACAAATAGGAGCAGGGACAGAGGCAGCTCTCACCCAGCTGGAAGAGGCACCCAGCGCCGCTGACCTTTGGGGAGAGGAGCATGAAGAGCTCGAGAAACGCGCTTTTCCTTCCAGCCTGAGCTGCAGTGCCTTGTCCTGAAGTGCACTCATCAGATAAAACGCACTTCAGGCTGAAAGCAGACGCAGAAACTGGTTTGAATGGGGTTAGACAGAACATTCACCCAGGCAGGCTTCAGCGCTCAGCCACACTCCCCGGCGTTATTGGGTTAGCCTTAATGCAGCACATGTGGTCCAGCAGCCAGAGGAAACGGCGGAGGCCTCCTCAGAATTGATGGGTTTATCCCTTGCATTAGCACCAACCTCCTGGCAGTGGCTGGCTTTGCTTGCAGCAGTGCCTGTTCTCCCTCTCTTGGCATGTGTGCAGGGATCTGCTTCAATTGCAAAAAGAAAAAGAAAAAAGAAAAAAGAAAAAAGGAACTATCGATTGTACTTGCTCCTATTCATTCAATCACTGCTTGTCATGACGGGGCAGCAGCAGCAGCACATCGTTGTCCTTTGACAACATCCCTAACTGGCTGGAACTGAGCAGAGCAGCCAGCCTTTCCGACAGCCAGGAGCTGTTAGAAAGGGCAGGAAACGATGACGGCATCTGCTGCTGGATCTTGACCTCGCCAGTCCTCCTGAGGGCCCCATGTGGTGGCAGAAAGGCAGAAGGCATGGCCCTAACAAACCACCACACCGACTCCCTCGCACGCAGGACACGCCTCGCTGAATGACAAAAGTTACAAACCACAATTAAACATGTTTATAAAGGAAAACCACTACTTTATAGATGATTACGCTGGATATAGATGCAGCATCAGTGCTCTTGTAATAAAATCCTGTATTTCTCCACTTAAGCTTTAACAAACCTACACTTTGATTTCGCAGACTAAAAACTCAGTACAAACTACTGGCGAGTCACAGAATCACAGAATCTTCTAGGTTGGAAGGGACCTTAAAGATCATCTTGTCCAACCGTCAACCTAACTGACAAAAATAGACACCCGCACAACAAACAAAAAGCAACACCATCACTAAACCATACCTCCCAGCACTACATCACCCCGTCTTTTGAACACCTCCAGGGATGGTGCCTCACCCACCTCCCTGGGCAGCCCATTCCAATGGCTGATAACCCTTTCAGTGAAAAAATTTTTCCTAATATCCAGCCTGAACCTCCCCTGGTGCAACTTGAGGCCATTTCCTCTTGTCCTGTTGCCTGTGACTTGAGAAAAGAGACCGACCCCCATCTCTCTACACCCTCCTTTCAGGGAGTTGTAGAGAGCAATAAGGTCTCCCCTCAGCCTCCTCTTCTCCAGACTGAACAACCCCAGCTCCCTCAGCCTCTCCTCATAAGACTTACTCTCCAGACCCCTCACCATCTTTGTCGCCCTTCTCTGGACCCGCTCCAGCACCTCAATGTCTTTTTTAGCATGAGGAGATGTACCGTGTCCAGGATTAGTCCTCAGTTTCTGTCTTTGGCTCCCTTGTAACCCTGTTAACCCTGGATTCAACCACATTAAATCTAGACAGAGTTGGTACAGCAGTTTTTTTTCTGTTAGCTGATCACTGAATCTGACTTACCAGCACTGTGGCTTGATATCTAGAAGCTTGATAGCAGATCTTGGAAGTCCATCTACACAAGAGTACCATTTTAAGTAGCAATACAATGTCTGTGAGACCTCCACCATCAACATACACTTCCCGCGAGAAAGGGGGAAAGGAATGGAAGTGCTTATCAAAAAGGGCGTCCTGCAGCATCGGTGTAATGAAACATCCTTCCTGGAAGTGCAGGAGATTCCAGGAGGCATTCAAGGAAGAAGAAAAAACGTGCAGTGGGATTTCAAATAGTCCTTCCCTCAAAGGTGAGCCTCAAATACTTGGGATTTTTCCTTGAATCAAGTAAATCAAAATGATGAGCAAACAACATTCCCAACTAGGCACATGACAAATTGGAAGATGACAAAGGGGAGAAGATTCTGTTTATTTATTCCTCTTTAAAATGACTTAAAAGCAAATTTAAACACTATTTAAAAAAAGAGGGGGTCCAAAATATCAAGAGGCTGAAAGTAAAACCACAAAGGAGGCATTACAAGGTTAGCAGAACATAGGAAGCATAGTTAGTATAAAACAGATTTACAGTCTCAATGAACAGCAAATTCATGCTGCCCATGTAAATTGAACAGTATGTAATACTGCCCCTACCCTCTGGAACACAAAATTCTTTTATAATTTTATTTTATTGTTGCACTGGATAGGAAAACACAAGAATTTTAAAAACCCAACATTTTCAATTGAAAGAGAAAAACATTAAAAATACAATATTGCTCTGTAGGCACTGATAAATGTTCTTCTATGGTAAAAGAGTGTGCCAAAGCAGAATTCAAAATTGCATAATTCCTATTAAAACGATACAGCCCCACTGTGACTGCAAATGAAAACTAGCTATGCTATTTCTCTGACACTGCCTGACTGTGACCCTGCCCGCTACGAACCGTCTGCAACACTGGAGTTTGGACAGGGCCAGGCAGAAGCCACAGGCAGCAATACTGGAAAATGAAGGTATCTCCTGATAAGCCAGAGCACTCTGACAGCTCAGATCCATGGAGGGCTTTCATTACACTGACACCGAGCAACTGCGTGTGCTTGCCAAGGCTTTCACTATGCACGCTTCAAGTTACACCTGACCTTGAGGTACTGAGACCTAGTAAAGAAGGAATGGGAGCCAGAAAAGGTTGCTGCTTAGAAATAGCACTCCAGTGGCTGCTGGCAGGAGGTCAGCTACAATCCCTGCCCAAGCTTGCCATCAGCCCATGAGTGCTTCCTTCTCCTCTCCCCTCACAGGGCACAGGTAGCTGTGATGTTACTTACACCCTCCTCTGCAGAGCACTCTGATCAGACTATGGAGCACCTATGTCCTCCTCTGAGGGCAGGGATGTGGACTTCACGAGGACCTGCAACAAAAATCAACTCAAAGCATTTTTAGGGGGGAGGCAGCTGCTGGGGCCCTGGAGAACGTTAAAGCAGTGCCTGTGCAGGGCACGCTAAAGCAGATTTTTACCTTGCAAGCATCCTCACTTCTGAGACTTATCCTTCTCTACCTGTTTTGGCACATGCAGCCTTCCTGCTCCCCCTCTCTGGTGGGCAAGATGCCTGAAATTCATAGTCTCAAGCCCCAGCATCCCTGTTCACAGGGGAGGAAAGATACACTTCAGTCTTCTGTTTTACTAGGGAGTCTCTGGCTAAAAAAAGTCACTTTTTAAAAAATGCCATGGCAGGAAGCAGTTAATCAAACATATCCTCAAACATGCGTCGCCCCATGGCTATGTAAACTTCTTTTTCTTCCGGCGTCATCTGGGCCACCAGCTCTGGTCGCTGGCTCACTTGGCTGTACGAGTGTGGACGCCCGGCCACTGTGACGGTGGGGTCCTCTGCCACCACCTCAAACTCTTCATCCTCCTCCTCTTCCTCTAGCCCGTATGTTGTGGTGGCCGTGGCGGGAGCGCGGGGAGGGGATTCCTCCTCCGACTCGCTTGTCTCGCTCTCAGAGTCACTAGCGTTGACACCGGAGAGAGGAGCAGCACCTCCAACAGTGACTGTTGAAGCAGAAGGTGTCTTCTTCTCGTGGATCAGCAGGGCACGCATCACTTCCTCATTATCATCCAGAGCTGCCCGGCCCTCCTCACGCTCCTGGAAGGCATCCAGATCCCGGCCTCCTGCAAAGAGACAAAAGGGAATGATTGTTTCCTCACAGAGATCTGGGTGATGGCCCTGAAGGCTTTCTGGATCCATATTAATTACTGCCCCTGAGCACGCTTGGCCAAGTCACATCCTTTCTCTGTGCCAGCTCCTCCTCTCCCTTAAAAGACAGAGATAGGTTTTTTTCTCGTAACAGCAGAGCAAGTATTGACATTTCCTAGGAGCTGAGAGGCCTGGAGTCACTGTGGCTCCCAGCTAACAGTCTCACTCAGGAGCACCTCACAAGAGAAGTCAACACCACATGATGGGGCAGACACCTGGAAAAGATCTTCCAGGGAGGTGCCCAACTCAGGCAGCCCTCAGCTGGACTGATGCATTTTCCTTGCTGTAGAGTAGAAAACCTGGAGTATTGTGTGCAGGTCTGGAGCCCTCAATATAAGAAGGACATGGACCTGATGGAGCGGGTCCAGAGGAGGGCCACAAGGATGATCAGGGGGATGGAGCACCTCTGCTCTGAGGACAGGATGAGGGAGCTGGGGTTGTTCAGCCTGAAGAAGAGGGGGCTCCGGGGAGACCTAATAGGGGCCTTCCAGTACCTGAAGGGGGCCTACAGGAAGGCTGGGGAGAACCTGTTTAGAAAGGCCTGCAGTGACAGGACGAGGGGAAATGGCTTTAAGCTGGAGGGGAACAGATTTAGACTGGAGATCAGGAGAGGGTTCTTCACTGTGAGGGTGGTGGAGCACTGGAACAGGTTGCCCAGGGAGGTGGTTGAGGCCCCTTTCCTGGAGATATTCAAGGAGAGGCTCGATGAGGCCCTGGGCAACCTGGTCTAGTTGGGGGTGTCCCTGCTGACTGCGGGGAGGTCGGACTAGATGACCTTTGGAGGTCCCTTCCAGCCTGGGCAATTCTATGATTCTATGATTCTATAAAACAGTCCTTGGGACCTAAATCTGGGCTTCCAGATACTCAGACTATACACTCAGTGATGACACTTGTCAGAGACAGATATACCCAGACTTTGCACCTAATGCTGACACTCGTCTGCGCTACAGATACCCAGACTATGCATCTAATGAAGATGCTTGTCAGATACAGCAAGTATCTCAGTGCTGTTTCACAGGTGAACTAGCACAGGTTGTGTCCTTTTTGGTTTTTGTTTCCTTTTTTCCTTTTGTTTCCTTTTTTTTTCCTTTTTTTGTTTCCAGCTTGTATGACCACAGCCTGGAGGACTTGTGCCGATGAAGACCATGGGCTATTGCTGGCACAGACCATAAACACCAGAACCAAAACCAGGCCCTGCCCTGTACAGCTCCCCATCTCTAAGGATTAAGATGGAGAAGTGGATGAATCCAGGCAGTAGCTGTGTCTGGTAAGCTCTGTGGTGCAGCTATCAGGCAGGAAGGGGAAAAGCTCATCACTGGAACACGGTGGTGGTGAGTGGGACCTATCCCACAAAGCAGATGCAGGTTCCAGCCTGCAGCCCAGCCGTGCAGCACAGTGAGGAAGGCTGTGGTCAAACATCTCGGGCTCTCCAAGCCAAAATGCAGCCCAGGCAGTCTCTCTGGCTCCCTACCTGGACCTCTTATTTGAAGGGGACTGCAGCTTCCCAGCTGACAGACCCCCAGCCAGCACTCCTCTTTCAGTCAGCCTGGCTGTCCAACAGCCAGCAGGGCTTGGCGTGGCTTGGGTAGGCAGAGCGTTTGTGGCTCATGATTCAAAAGGTAAAATTCTGCTCAAAAAATGACATTCAGCAGAAAACATCTCCTCATCCGGCATTTGATGAGAGGACTGTGAGTCCACCCAACACCAATAAACCTATGGGCAGAAACAAACCAACCCCAGAACAAAAACTAAAATACGGAGAACCTTATGTAAAAACAAGGCCTAAAAAGTAGGACAGACGCCCTGTGGCAAACTTTGTCTCTTGATGGTGCCTATGAACAATCAGTGGAGCTGAGGTGATGGCATTCTGCCACTTGTCTGCTTCTCCAAGACCTGGATCCTCATGGTTTCAGCACCACATCGAGGCAGCTGGCACCCAAGCCTTTCCCCAAGCGTCAAAAAGACACTGGTTATTTTTTTCAATTTGACATGAAGAAAATACTGAGAAACAGGTGAACTAAGGAAGTTAGTTCTGCATTTAGTGCTAAAAGCCAGACTCCTTTCCTGCAGTAAAATAAAGGCCCAAAGACACATCCCTAACTTCACTGGACTCATGTTTTTATTGTAAATGAAGCTGTAGTGATGGGTGATGGCTGCAACTACTATTATTAATGCACTGGAAAAATTCTTAAAAGGAAGGAAGAATGAAGGCATTTTGTTGGCAGCCTTCTGCTCAGCTTGTCGCTTGTGACTGCAGAGCATAAGAGGCTATTGGAGAGCACCCCTGTGAGATAATGTTGTAGTTCATCACATCGAGAGCTGTGAAGTGACCACAGCCTGGGGTAGCTCCACAAAGTCTGATTTTGTGTCTCAGGCGTGGGGCTGTCTCTTGCTCATGAAAACTGCTCCTGCCAGATCCAAGCAGTGAATTAAACACTATGGATCTTTTCTGTTAACAGTCCTGAGTTTCCTTCCTCCCTGTTTATATCATCCAAGAGCTACAGAAATGTGGTGCAGCAGCAATTTCAGGCTATTTCCACAAGTCCCTTCTTTGGTCTCCAGTAGTGGTGGAGGTTAAGCAGCGATGCCATCATGCTGTAAGGAGATATACTCCTCCTTCATGTCCTTCAGCGGCATATGAGGAACATTTCATGCTGTATACACCAAACATCAACTCAAGCAGCCAATTTAAAACTCCAGGTGAATTGAATGTCTAGCAGAAAAATGGGGTGAGAACTCACCATGGCTGTGAGTAACAACAACATCTGCTACAGACTGCAGGAGGAGGCTGTTTCAATCACCTCACTTTATTTAATCTATTTGGAAAATGTTTTGGGATCCGTATGTTTGAAGGGCGTTATACGCACACAAGATGATTACACATCTTCTGACTATTATCTCACATCCATTTTCTTCACTTCTGCTACACTCCACTCCTCTCCTGAGCACTGCACTGGTTCCAGGGTCTCATGCTCACACATGCAATCCCCTTTCGCCATCTTCTCTTCCTAGGGCACCAAAAGTTTCAGTCTATAATACTCAAATGACTTGGAAGACTGCATTTATTGATTCACTCTCATAAAAATAATAAAAAGTCTCTATTTCCTATTTTTAGTGTGTGAGCTGAAACAGCACACTTACCAAGGAAGAATGTTTCTACTAGAGGTTACAAGATCTTGACTATAGTCTATGGACAACATGACCCCAACGTGAATGAAAATAAAGCAAAGATAACGAGAAACAAAGAGAAAGCAATAAAGACTCACCTGCCATGGTAACAGACCTTCCTACTGCACCTCCAGAGCTGTATTTCTGACACATTCTTCATATAAACCACATTTTGAAAAACAATTGGCAATAAGAAGGCTGGGAGCACAAAAACACTACTGGTAGATCTGGTAGGCTTCAGCATGACCAAATGTTAATAAATGTTATTTTTCAGCAGTGACCTATTAGGGAGGCAGCTCTCCAGATGAAATCTAAAGACCTTCATCCAAAAGTAATAAACTCTCAAGGTTGAAGACGTAACTGATAATTAACATTTCAGAAACCCACAAACAATTTTGTGGGCAACCCAGCTTTACTGACCTAGATTTCAATTCTGGATCTAATAAATCAGGATATTTTACATCTATCTACACACACAGGTGCTTTGCACAGCAGAGGGGAGCAGACAAAATCTGGAGTGTTGGGAGCAGCAGCTGTACACACATGGGGGAATACATTTTTGACAACACTTGAAGAGCATCACATAAGCAGAGCAGTATTCCTGCTTTGCCAATCATCTTACCATCTTTGATCTCATCAGGGTCATAAGCCCCCTGCACTGTGCTCTCCCGTAGCCAAATGGGCCTCTCTCTGGCTGGCTTTCCTTCGCTTGCAGACCGGTTAAGATCCTCCTGGTCCTCCATGCTGATGACAACGTTCTGGGTATACAAGTCCTCATATGATGGTCCTTTTGTAGTCCATGCTTCCCGATGGTGTCCACCTGCAATGCCAGCTGCTGTCCCTGAACCAGCACCAGCTGCACGTTCCTTGCTACATAAAAGTCAAAGAGATAAAACATTCAGAACAAGCCCCTTCTTGGCCAGCATCACAACACTTAAGCTACAATTAGTTATCTTCCATGATCTGCACCAAGAACTTGCATGCTCACTTCCAACGTGCCAGGAATTTCTACACCAGCTTGCTGGTTTGGGGAACTTGGGGGGGGTCTCTAATGGGAAACCCTACTTGAGGCCATGGCAACTTCCACACCAGACACTGAAAAGAAGAGACAACACTAAGGCTGCTGATGGGTGCATGAAAACATAGGATCCCAGAATACCCTGAAATAAAAGCCACAGCAGCAAAACACAGTCGAATAGTAATCTGGTATTTTGAAATTCTCTTCTTGGCCTTCACACACCAACCATATACTGCATAAAAAAAGCACCTAACTTTAAACAAGTCAGATGATAGGCACAGAAAGTCAGATGATAGGCCCAGATACCCTGCATGCTCAGATCTGTGAACCATTATTAATCACAGGAGTCATGAAGGAGTTAACTCAACATGAAAAACACAGTTTAAACCCTTGCTTGAATTGTGAATGACAATGCCCATGGTAACATCTCCTGTGTTACACAGGAGATCTGTACTATCCACAGCCCTGGGAGGACCAGGGAGTGTAGTCAGAGGAGAAGAAAGATGAGAGGACACCTTGAAACCAGAGGACTAGCTAAGGCTGGGCAAAGGGCTTTGTGTGGTGATGGTGTGTGGGAGGAAGGGAGACAGAACTGTCTTTGTTGTGGAAAAGCTGGAGAAAGAAAGGTGATGACCATTGCAAAGGGTACAACAGTCAAAGTCTTGCCCTGCTCTGTTTTCTGAGAGAAGCTGCAGCCAGAACATTTTCCTCCAGGCTCCCTTCTAGCTCAGGAGACTGATAGAGAAAAGAAAAGAAACATTCCTGCTTAGATCTGATGGAAAGAGGACATCAGGTGGAGTATTTTCTGCACAGTAATGGCAATGAGCCTAAAATATTCTTTCTGGTCTGTGCTGCTACACATGCATTGATGAGGCAAAGCAGCTGAATGGAAACCCACTGCTTTCCAGGTGGGGAAAGCCAAATGTGACCCTCTACTTCAAAATGATATTTCATCTTCTCAGAGAAGCAGATCCACTGCAGACTGCACCTACCCTCAGCCACATAATTTCAGTCATCTGACTTTTCACAGGTAACAGACCTGCCTGGACGACTCCTCTTGTCCAAAGCAAATCCATCAGCGATACTCACAGCGTCCCTGCTCTGCTGCCAGCTGAGCTGATAGAAGCTGTCAGTGAGCTTGGTTCAGTCACTGCTATCTACCCATGACCTTCCCTCCAACTCAGAAGCTTAAAATAAGGTTGCAGTTGGAGAAGACCTGAGTAATATGCGATTTTTTTTGATTCAGCAAGGACTGAACCACTGCTTGATGAGCTAATTCTGCTGGATTTTTAGGGGTAAACAGCAAGGGCAAAATATGCAGGTAGGTGATCATCTCTCCAGGTAAAAAGTACTGGTGTCTTCAGCTGTAGTTTGGACTGAGCTGCAGATAGCCTCTCAGCAGTGAGCTTGCTGGGGTCTGTTAGCAAAATACCCCACAGCATTGGTTTTCGCATGTGTCCACACACAAATCGGTTCTCTCCTGCAGCCAGCCTCACTAGGAGAGCTTCACATCAGCCTTGAATTTTGGGGCAGAAGACTCATGCACATGTATTGCTTATGTAACCCAAGGAACCACACAGAGACCTTCTTCCCAGCGTGTTATTTCAAGTGTTGGTACCTTGCAGCTCTCCAAGACAGGCGTGTGTTCTGTGAAAAGCACCACTCTGCTTCCCACACAATAGAAATCTCTAACTAGCGTTTCCCTGACGATTTTATGTAATCCACTTTCCTCACAAGATACACAATGCAGCTCTCCCTCGAGCTCTCCCTCCTCACGACTGCAGCGTGACAGCTAAAGACTCAGTAGGGCCAGGAATTACCTAATAATACTTTTGCACAGAGGTCCCCGTAAGTGTGCCTGAAATGGGACTATCTTTCCTCCGCGGTATCATTTAGCAGCAAAACACTTATTCCATAACGTGGGGAACATTTCAAAAATGAAAGTACCAACTCTAAAAGTAATTCATACCGTACGTGTCTCTAAGGCAGCTACTGCAATGTCCCACACGTAGGTGGAAGCATCTAGACACTCTCTGTCAACTTTCAGACCCTGGTGAGCTTTGCAAATGTGTCTCAATTTACCACCTTGTTTGTGGAACTGTATCTTCAGCAACACTGTTGGTAGGAACCAGCAACCCCTCAAGACTACGTGACCAGGGGAATACTCCTTACTGCCAGGAGAGATCTTCCTGTTCAGCAACCCTTTTCCAGAGTACAGGATTAAACACCATGGATCAGGCACCTGCAAAAGGCCAGATGCACAAGCTGCCTTACGGGCAGCACAGAGCAGATGAAGGGAGTGCACTCTGAATCAGATCCAAGATCTGCTTTCCCCCACCTAGCTCCAGACTTTTCATGGCCATCCTCAGATGGTGGCAGCTCAGTGGCCCAGATGTGGCCACACTGGCTCTGTTACCCATCAGTTGTTTTACCCTGATGGAAATCCCTTAATGAGTGGCTAGCTGCCGTTAGAGGTGACATAAATAATCCTTGATATAGCTGAGGCACGGGCCACAGAAACCACACTGTGCAATGGGGAAACAACTCGAAATTTTCAGCTCAATCCTGCCCAGACTATTAAGAAAAGGTCTTGCATAATGGGGATAACTCTTTTTGTGCTGTGTTTGAAATAAAGCATTTTTTCACTTAGCCGCTCTTAAGAGCTTCAACTTCACAACAGCCAGCCCATGGTCCTTGATAGCATGACCACAAAACAAAATAATTCTGTGAAGATTTTTGTTATACAAAATCATGCAATTTTGACATAAGAAAATGGAGGGGTATTAAAATCCATCTGTTTTAGAAAACCACGGAGAAAGGCTTAGGTAAAGTAGGCTTATTTCAAAACCTGTGGGGTTAATTCATGCTCTGCCAACATTAAGAAAATTAACGGCCTCCTAGAAAGATATAAATGAAGACCTGCCTGGTTTCCCATGGCAGGTGAATGACAGTTATGCAACGTCAGTGTGGTTGCTTAGAGCTGTGACTCTTCTGAGAACACATGAAGTTGCCTGTGTCAGTGTAAAGAGACAATGCAGGCACTTGGTGACCTTTTCTGTTTCTTTCAGAATCACCAAATGTCAGTTTTGTCAACGATTTCAGACACTCAATACTCCATGAAAATAACCCACAGTTTGGCACTTAAAAAAAAAATATCTCACAGCAGTGCTTTCGTGCAATTAGCTGCTTTGAATTAATAAGAGTTAATAAATAATTAAATCATTGCATGTACTGAAGCAAGTTGTATTCAAGTAAGCGTTTAAATAGCCGCCTATTTATTTTGTCATTCCTTGCACAGAGTAATTAATCATTTACAATGTTTTTTAAGTATTTAAGAGTCAAGTAAGTGGGTGCTGCTATTTAATCACGGGACTGCACCAAGCTTCTGCTGTTATAATTTCCTGTGCACAGAAGAGGAAGACTGAGAAATCACTCTCTTTTTGGTGGGGTTATCCCAGTTCTACTACTCAAACTACAGAAAAGGGTTTTTAAAGCAAAGTCTAGTGATTCAGCTTGGGCATAAAGGCTTCAAAGACTCCCCATATCACCAAGGCCATGTTGAGTGACCTTGGAAAAAATCTCTTCCCTCCTCTATATTGCTTCTGTTTTTCTATCAGAATGATGTGGAAAATGAGCTACCTTCTTGGCTAGAAAAAGACTATGAATAGAAAATAATTTCTTTTTTGTATTAATTAGAAACTGTCCAGCATGAATATACAAGGAACATTCTCTCTCAAGGTTAGCTTGAGAGAAAAAAAAGAGTATCCTGCTTGCTCTCACATTAACTAAAGCCAAGCACCCCAAGGCACTGTGGGAATGCTTCCCCTCGTGGTACATTTCCCCTCCCCCTTGTATTTAATTAATTTTTTTAAAACACAGAGAAGTGCATCACATTTCACCACAGCTGACAAAACTGACAGCTCCCCACATCTTTCTGCATTATTTAAACATCATCTGTTTTTGTACAGCTAGGAATGTTCTGAAAGAAAGTGTCATTTCCCATGGGTAGGAAGATTTTAAAGAGTTTTTGACTATAACACGGTCTCCTCCCGAAAAGGTGTGTAACAAGTAGGAGAAAATCAGAAGAAAAAAATACCCTTATTACAAGTAATGTCTTTTGAACTAGAATGTTGTTACATCTGGATTTGAAACGCAAATTGTAGAATGCAGATAGCATAGTTTCAAAAGCTGGGTAGAAGCAAAAGGAATAGATGAAAGGTAAGGGTTTGAAAGAAGACAGTGTAGATGGCCTCTTCAGAGCTTTGCCAAATGGCTGCAGTTTGCATTTCTCACATACTGGGGCAAGGGCTTGGGACACACACCAGCTGCAGCACAGCAAGCAGCAGGTAATTTCAGTATCCCACCCCACAGAAAACTACATGAGGGAAGCTGACCAGAGAAGAGTCATCTGCCTTATTTAATAAAAAATGGTTATGGCCCTTTATCTCCTTATAAACCACACATTCCTTGGGGAATCTGTCAGTGGCTTGGATAGTTGGTGCTGAACAAGTTAAGTCCTCAATGCAGCCAGAGGCTGCACAAGGCCTGGGAAAGCCTCACAGAACAGATGAACGCACTACGAGGAAGCAGAGCAGTGAGAGAAGACCAGGGCTGTTCCCACCTCTGCTTGAGGGCAGGAATCTCAGTGGGTTCTGGCTCGAGGATTTCATAGGCCAAGTTAACATCTTCCGTCTCACGGAGCAGCGCGTAGATGGGCTCAATCTGCTCATTAAATCTTGCCACGAGTGTCCTTGCATCCTTTTTGGGCATGGCCGACTCATCTTCTTCCACTTCAGTCTCACAGAAAGTACAGCGGAAAGTTCCTAAAACGAAAAAAGTTGCAAAACATTGGAAGGAAAGCAACAGGCCCTGCTCTTTATACAGCCTTTTAAACAGCAGTGCTTTGCTGGTTTTTTAGCTTGATGCTAAAAAGCTTTTCTTCCCCTGACGATCCCTTCCCACACACTGTACCTTGTTATTATTTAAGCAGAAAACAAAGCAAGCATTTTGTTGCCATCCAGTGATACCCAGTTGGGTACAGTTTCTCGCTCTGAAAAGCCCAGATAGGCTGCAGTACCTCTGCTGAGACATCACTTCATCTCACTCCCTCTTTCTTGCTGCACATTTTGAACGTCAGTCGCAACTGGGCTGTGGTAAAAAGCTTCACAATATACTCTTAGGAGTTCAAATACCCGCTTCAGGTGCTTGCACTGGTACCTCCCAGGCCACACGACCAGGCTAATTTCACAATGAAGCAGAGTGCAGTTTTACACTGCACCAACCACTCCGCAGTAGCTGCCAGTATAACCATTTTCACTCTGCAACTAATGCAAAAAAGATGGCTTCTCCTTCTGTTTCAGGCTCAAAACAGGCAAAAATTGTCATTACTGCAGAGCAGCAAATGCAAAAACTTATCACACCTAACCCCCTTATTCACTTCTTGAAATTAAGAATGGCAAGATAAGAATTGTATGAATGGCAACTAAGAATCAGCTCGTTTTACAGACCTCATCAGGATCTACAAAAAAACAGGTCAAATATGAAGGCAACTGAAATGGTTGCATAGCAATGCAGTTACAAAAATCCTACTGAACTCCTGCACAGCAGGCTTTTTGGTTTCATCACTCCATCTGTGAGCAGGACCCTTAGGGCAGTACATGCACCGTAGGACCTTGCCATATGGTCCACTACGAGGGGAGCAGCAGAGTGCAGTGCCTTATCCTTGCAAGTGCTGGACTGAGAATGTACCTCCACCTTCTCAGAACACTTATAGCCAGAGCAACGGTCACAGGCTTCTCGATTTCCCTTGTGTGGTTTTTTTCATTTATCCATCCCGTGACACCTATACACATTTAGCATCATCTCACAATACCTCAATGAAGAAAGGAAAAGATCTTTTTACTGATAGGGAGCGGAAAGATAGGTCATATCAGGGAAAGGATAAGCTTATGTCTAAAAATCAGTATTCAATCAGTATTGAAGCTGGCTATATCACCGAAGCTATGTTCAAACTCAGGTGAAACACTGGGGGTTTGCCCAGGGCACACGGGCATGATGTAATGAGACAGGCAGGCAAGCCAGGGCTCCTGGTATCTTGTTTTGCTGCTTACACAGATTTGCTAGTCTTGTCACTTCATTTTTCAGTGTACCTTTTTCTCTGCCTGCAAGACAGCGATAAAAACAGACCTAACTTCTTCACTGATGGCTGTGAGGGCTAGACAATGCTCGCACGCTTTTTGGAAAACACACAAAAGCACTGTTTATGACAGGAGGCAGATCTGTTGCCTCTCATCAGTCTGTAGAGATGCAGTTTTCTACCTTGGCACCATCTGAAGTAGCTTTCACTCATCGTTACTGATAAATTAAAATGTGAGTGTGTTGTATATGTGGCCTGTAATAAGCGTGCATTTCCTGCAATAAAATCTCTCTTCAGAAAGTTTGTCTTATCTAAATGTAAAAGCTGGAGCACCCAACAACAGCAGTATGCGGAGTAAAGGATAAGTGGGTAAAGTGCTCTTCTCTCCCATCCAAGCACGAAACACTCTGTTTATTTTTTTCAGGCTGTAAAAATGGCCCCAACTGGTTCAAAACCCATACATTATATAAAGCTGTCAGCCCGGCAAAAATTGAAGCCGAAGTTTGGTCTCCTTACCCCACATCTGAGGCTACTAGCGTGACAAATTGGCAAACAAGTTGAATCAATTTAAAATAATTAGCACATCTCAGTTCCCATAATGGACTAAGTGAACAAACACAGCTTAATGAGGAAAACTCTCCTCTTTTTACACCCCCCCCAAAAGTCCTGTTACATGTTCCTGAGACTGCTCAGACTTTTCACGCTTCCATCTGTGAACCCCATGAGCATTTGCAAAGATTAAGATCGTAGGGAGAATGGTTCCAATTCAGAGTACCAAAAAATCAGAAAGTAAATACAGCTCTAATGAAACGGAACTCCTAAAGCTATCATGGATTTGCTGCAACTTCCACCCCTCAGGGTTCTTAATAAGCAAAAAAAAAAAAAAAA